AGTTCTCCAGGGCTTTCTTAGAAAAAGAACAAAATCTTTATTCCAGCAATTTACATGAATCTTCAGCAGATTCCTCTTTTCACGAACAATGTCCTGTTCAGAATCATGTAGCCCTAGAAAGCCATTGCTCAGCCTTGTTTAGACTAAACCTTCACCCGAGGCAGGGTGACCGTGGCTTTGTCCCTCCCACACAATGTGGTCTGCCCAGAGCACACCAATGAATAGTGAGCAGATGAACCAACCAGCGGTGTGTGTCCCTGAGACAGACTGGGTTATAGTAAAGATGCTTTCAAATTCTATGGTATCTTCCCATGGAGAGGTGGAGTCTCCTCTCCTTCAGTCTGGGCTGGCCTTCATGACTGATGAATGCATTGAAGAGCCATTCTGGGACTTCCCAGGCTAGGTCATTGTAAGCCTTGCAGCTCCCCCTGAGATTGGAGGGTTTGCTCTTGGAACACTTAGCTGCCATGTCAAAAGTCCAACCATGTGGAAAGACCCAAGACAACCTGGAGAATCAGAAGGGTGCAGCTGAGCCCTGCCTTCTAGCTGTGCCTACGAAGGTGCCAGACACACCAGTGAAGCCCTTTGGGACCTTCTAACCTGCCCATCTACTAGCTGAATCACACCAAAGGACCTTGGTTGATACCACATGGAACAGAAGAATCACCCCACTGATCTCTGCGCAAATTTCTGACCATGAAATCATGAGCAATGAACAGTATGGTGGTAGTTTTAAGCCACCAAGTGTTGGTGCTTTGTTACATATCAATAGCGAACCGAAACACAAACACTGCTAGGTCTTGTGACTCAGGCTCAGAGGCCAAACCAACCACCAATGAAAGCTTTTGGCAAGGGCTCAACACTGGGGTTGAGAAGACAAAACGCCCTGAGGGGCACAGATGAGACCAAGGGAAGTGTCTTTCTCTAGTCCAGGGGTAGGGAACCTTTTTTCTGCCATTGGAATATTTATAACATCATTCGCTTAATATAATTCACTTAATATAAATTTATGTTGCTATGAAAAAAGCTCCTAGATTTATTGAATTTCGAGTCCTGCCTGCGGTTGTGTTGGCAGGGCCAGACCAAATGACTTCTTGGGCCTTATACAGCTCTCGGGCCGGATGTTCCTCACCCCTGCTCTAGCCCATTTGTCCTAGACGATGTTTTCAAATGAAGTTGGAAACTTCCCTCTGAAGAACAGTGACCGTACGGCCCATGGTGCCAACGCACTACTCAGCTGGGTGGACGCCAAGAACACCAGTGAACGGTCCCTTACGCCACAGGGGAGCACTGCAGTGCTTATGCCGTCAACGTGGTGATGCAACCAGCAGCCTCTACATTGTTAAAGGAGAGTGACAGTTTGGCACAAGGACATGTGAATTCAAATGATCAGATGCAAACTAAAAGAGAGATGACAATTTCTGAGAGCTGTGGGTTAATTTTTTGGCGGTTCTTGAAATGGAAAATGATTGTGAACTTGGGGGATAAATACCAGAGCAATCTGTTTCCTTGGCTGCGTGCTGTGGAGCAATTTTAAAGCACTGAAGTGCTTTCCATATTTTCTAATCACTCAAGTCCAGAACTGATTATGGCGCTCAGCATCCTCTCGGATTCGCACCATCAGAGCACTCCACGTCCTTCAGGGAGTGGTTTCACCTTGAAAGTGGGCGCCTGCATCCAGAGGCACATATGGATACAGCAGGAGAAACATTTAACTGCAGCGCAACCCACAACGGCCAGGTGTTTCAGAAATCACTGATGGCCCAGCTCCGAGACAACCCGGATTTACTTTCTCCTTTCTCACAGGAACAAAACAACCTCCCTCAGAAAACAAAACAAAAAAGGCTCTACCAGAAACTGAACGCCCCCAAACAACAACAACAACAACAAAAGAGAAATTTAGATTGTTGAGACCTGTGGGCAAGGTCTCACACACACACACACACACACGCACACACACACATAGGACATCTCTGGAAGGAATCCCAAGAAATTGGTAGCTGTGATTTCTTCAAGGGGAGAATTGAAGGGCTGAAGAAAACTGGGAGGTTAATGGATGAGAAAGACTTATTATTATTTTTTTTTACCATAGCCTTTTGAATATTTTGAATTTTTAAAAAAATCATATGCTGTATTACTTTTCAAAATAATGAAACAGAATAATTCTAAACCTGTATGTGGTACTTATGGCCTGCTAGGCACTGTGTTCAATGCTTTATGTATATTCACTCTTTAATACTTATAATAATCTTGTAATTAGACATGACTCTATTATACTGATTTTACAGATGAGGAAACTGAAGTACAGAGAAGTTAAGTAACTTGTTCAAGGTCACACAGCTAGTAAATGCAGAGCTGGGATCTGGACCCAGAGACTCTAGCTCTGGAGTCTGTCCTCTTAATAACTACATAATACTGGCTTGGCAAAAATAAATATACTCAGTTGCCTGCTCATAAGGGAGTTGAAGCAGATAAAATAGTTCTTTACTTTTCTCATGTGGCCCTCTACAAAGATGGGTGAAGAAGATAGTGGCTCAAAATAACCAAGATACAATCTTAAACCTGTGGGGGTTTAGAGGGCTTTGAAATTGATTGTGTGACTATAGGTTAAAAGCATGAATTTTCCAAGTTGCTTAATCCTTCTGAGCCTCAGCAGCTATTCTATGCCAGGCGCTCTGCTAAATCTTGGGGACAAGTAGTGAATAGAATAGAGTTCCTGCTCTTGAGAAACTTACTGTATCCTGGGGGTGACAGGCAGTAAACCAATAATCACACAATCATAATGTGAGCAATAAAGAGAAATTAAAGGGTAGATGGAGAGATGAGGGTTGGGGGTCCATTTATACTAGGTGATCAGGAAGTGTCATTTAGGCAGAGTGCTGTAGGATGGGCAGGGGTAAAGCAGGCAAACAGAGGAGGTGGGGGGAAGAAAAGCATTCTGGGTGCAAAGGCCCTGTGGCTGGAAAGAAGTACCTGTTTCCGGACAGAAAGGTCTCTGTGGCTAAAGCCAGGTGAGTCAAATTGAGATTGGAGAAAGAGGCAGATCATGTGGACCATGGTAAGTATTTCACAATTTTCCTAAGAGCCATGGGAAGCCTCTACAGGTTATAAGTAGGATTGACATATTGCCTTCACTTCTTTGTTGTTGTTGTTGTTAATCCTCACCCGAGGATATTTTCCCATTGATTTTTTTAGAGAGAGTGGAAGGGAGAGGGAGAGACAGAGAGAGAAAGACACATCAATTGGTTGCCTACCACACACGCCATGCCACGACCAGGCCTGCAACTGAGGTATGTGCCCTTGACCAGAATGGAACCCTTTTTAAGATTACTTGGGCCGCCATGTGGAAAATATACAAAGAAGAAGGCAACGGAGAAAGAGGAAGACCAGCTAGGAAGCTACTGTAAGAATCCAGGAAAGCAATGGAGATGGCTTGGAATAAAGTGCTGGCAGAGAGAACAGTAGATAAATTTGAGATGTTTTAATGGTATGATATTTTATAAAATTAGTATAATAATGTTAGCTATGAACTGTTATTATAAAGCATAATGTAGGTGTGAAAATGCTTTGTCAACTATGAAGTGCTGAACAGAGGTCACTATTACTACAGATGAAGAAACCAGGTACATGCTAGTAGGACTCTAACCTGCCCAAAGCCACACAAGGGCTTAGTGGCTGGGAGGACGTTGACCTGTGATCCCTTCACTCCCTTCTCTGGGGTGTGCCCGGGAGAAGGAGAAGAAGGCTAGTGACCGGGTCTAGCTTCCTTGTCAAGTGGGCCTCAGGGTAAATAGAGTAGTAATATTTAGGATGTGTCTGGCTAGTATCTAGAACTCAGGGTCTCTGAAGCAGGGTTCCTTGGAAAACATCACGTCAGCTCTACAACTCTCTGGGGTACAAAATGGAAAATTTTTCATCATTGAAAAACTCCACAGGGAGTGGTGGCCCCTTGATCCTCCCCTATTATTCTGGGGGAGTGGTGTGTGGCAGTGAGGGGAGCTAGGACCTGGGGAGCCGCTCCTGAGGTCCCAGACTTTTCTTTACTTCACCTGAATCTCCGATTCCCTGTACCCTGGACATTACTGAGCAAAGCTTCATATTGGGTCTGAGCTCTGACTTGTGTGACATTATTTGACAATCTCATCCCACATGTTTATTCAGTGGCAGAGACCGTTTCCCCAGGTTAGTAGTCCCTGTGCAATATCAGGCCCAATTATAAGGTCCATGGGCGAAGAGAGAACGGACTTGGTTATATGTGACCCCCTCGCTCGTGGCCTAACTCTGATATTTATTTGACACATCAGATATCCACCTACCTGAAAAATTAATTTTTTAGGACAGTTAGGCAATTTAAGAAACTTGATGTATCTGCCTTCATTGTGAATGAGCAAAACTGAAAGAACTCAATACTGGAGTCTTTGGGATGGTTCATATGATTTCCTGATGAGGTGAATCAGGCCTTTTGGGGCCCCAGTGACTAATCCTAAGCACTTTAGAGAGGACCCCCACGCTCCACTTGCCAAGGAATCAGTACAATATCAATGTGCAGCAGTGAACACGGTTCCCCAAACTACTCTTGTCCTTCCTAAGTCACGAGTTCTCTTCTCACTCTTCTTTTTAAAAGCTGCACAATTTATCTTAGCATACAACTTCATTATGGAACTTAGGGAGGATGAGAAAGGGAACTGTCACTCTAGCGGGAAGGGAGAAAAACCTCTTTGTCTTCTCTGTCTCATAACAAAGTGTATTTATGCTGGAGGAATCAAAAGACAGAATCAAAAGGCACATGGATGTCCAATTCTACTCCTGGTACGCACATCTCCGATTATGAACGGAGCTGTTGCAGATAAAGCACACCAGAGGACCAGGGCTTTCTCTGGAAGATGCTAAGCATGAGGACATTGGCAGGCTTGTGTGACGGAAGCGTCCACATGTTTTATGAAGAGAAGTACGTCCTCTTTCCCCCCAAACAACCTTCCAAACTAAAGCCTGGTGTTTACCTTCAGCGAGTGGGTCGAGGGTGTGTATCATGAGCTGGAAGATGCTATTCCTCATGAGACTGTTGTGGAGGGAGGCAGAGCTTCCACCTCGCTGGAGACGTGGCTTGGCCTGAACAGAGAAACCAGACAAAGAGGCTGTTAGTTCTCAGAAACCAAAGGCAAGTGCATTACAGGTAAGATCCTCCCCTTGTCTGGTGGTCACTTGTTTCTGTCACATGATCACACACTGTTGACCAAAGATTCCCAAGGTACATTTCAAATCCCCCAAAGGAATGGCTTTCTCACAGCCTTTCCTATTAAATAAATTTATTTGCTACCATTTTAGAGCTTAGTAAATGCTAGTCAATGTGCTATATGCTTCATTCATAAAATGAACTAGGCGCTGTTTTTATTCCCTTTAAAATATTTTTAAATTGATTTCAGAGAGAAAGAGAACTAGAGCTAGAGCTAGAGAGAGAGAGAGAGAGAGAGAGAGAGAGAGAGAGAGAGAAACATCAATGATGAAAGAGAATAATTGATCAGCTGCTTTCTGCACGCCCCCTACTGGAGATCGAGCCTGCACGACAGGCAAGTGTCTTGACCAGGAATCGAATGGTGACCTCCTGGTTCATAGGTTGACGTTCAACCACTGAGCCACACCAGTCGGGTTATTATTTCCTTTAGACAGATGAGGAAACTGTCATAGAGAAGTGAAATGAGGTGTCCAATTCACACAGACGAGAAACGGAGGGTAGAGGAATGAATCTCAAGTTTGCTTCTCTCAGAATTTGTTACCTGAACCAGTGGGTGGTCTCTACAATGTTTGGATTGTGCACCCTATCAGGAAAATGTTTGAGTATGTATGTGTATGTATATGTATCCATCTGTATCTGTATCTATCTATATCCATATCTATATTAAAAAATGAGCATATATATTATAAAACACTTGAAAAAGTGGATATTATGAAGAATAACATAGAAAATAAATGATAGAGGTGTTAATATTTCCCCCTTCTCCCCAAAAGAACATCTCCCACATCTCCCAGGGTTCCTCTTCTCTGCCCTGGACCACAGCTCTAGTTCATGAAGCCCTATGGTCTGTGTTAAGTGAGATTTAAAGAGAGAGAACCACTTATAAATCTACAGAGAAACTTCCTAACTTCAAAGGGAGGATTTCTTTTGTATAAACTCCTGCTAGAGTGAACCTTTGGGCAAATAAATGAAACTGGCAGATTAAGAGAGGAACAATGAACCTCTAGAGGTGAGATTACCAACAAACTCTTTGTTAAAATCTTCAAAAACAAACAATCTAAAAAAAATATCCAAACAGTGGATTGCAACCAACTTTTATCCTGATTAGGAACTGTGCTCTCCTTCTTGGATTGATTTTGTGTTGGTTAACACAGGGGACGACGTTCCAGAGGCCAAGCTTCACAGACAGAGATTTAAGAGAGGGCAGCACAATGTGCGGAAAGGAATTTCTTATTGAACTTTTGATCCAAATTCTTGACATGAGATTTTTCTGGGGTCTGGTTAAAATAAATTACGGTTTCCCACTGCCTTCCAATCCTCTACAACGCAGGGTTTTCCAAAATGTTCCATTGAACTCCGGATCCAAAGGGTGCGTCCCAAGAAAAGTCCCATAAGAGACTCCATAGTCAAATACTTTGGAAAGTGCTACACCCCAGACCAAAGCACCTTTTGAGTTTTAAGATACACATTAGACCACTAAGCTTAAAAAAATCAGGTTAACTTGGTAAACTTGGACAGTTTCTGAACTATTGCCCATGGAGCCTTACTCTGAAGAATACTTATTAACAATCATAATCTGTATGTTGGAGACAAACATTAAACCTATAGTAAGCTTGAAGTATGGGTAAAATGTCAGTATGAAGTACACGGAAATGTCTGAATTTCTTAGTCTGATTTTATTATAATTGATATTCTACTAGAAATTATGTTCCCAGAAATACAGGGTTTGGAGAAGAATCAGAGGGGATTACTGGGGTCTCAGTGATGAGCCAGATCATGGGCTCCTCAAGGGAAGAGTCTGGATCTACACCGGTAGCCCAATACTGGATCTGGCATATCCTATGGGCTCTCAGTGAGTGTCATAAATCTTGGTTTTAAGCATTAGAGGAGGAAGGATGGGGCCGTATGAATCTTCATTCCTATGCCCTTCTGCCTTAAAAATCTGTAACATTTTTTAATGCATTGTGTTATTTGATTTAGATGGTTAAGGTTCAAAATATTTTAGAGGCAAGGTGAAGAGATTTGAATAGATTTGAAATGTAATCACTGTTTAATGGCTGAAGACAAAAACTCTGAAGGTCATTTCCTTGTCATGCTTCACACATAAGATGTGATGTGCTAATTGGACAGGAACTGAAACATGTGCTTGTTGTTAATAATCAGTCATGACCACTATGACTATGGTTCTTATTCTGAGAAACTGGCAGAACTCTGCTGCGAAGATCTTTATTAGCAAAGGATTATAGCTATAAAAGAACTGAAAGCATTCTTTTGGGCATTATGCACATACTGGATATATAGATCTCATGCAGTTTTTCTTTTTATGGAACCCAAAGAAATTTCCAGCCAAAAATTAGGTGCATGCAGATACATAAAGAAAACAGACATCAAGCATTAGATGCCTCCCCACAATGTCCCCAAATATCAGCTCAACATCCCTTGGAATGTAATGTGGGACTAGCTCACTCTTTCAGCTCCTATAAAAGTTCATGCCAAATGAAAGAGAGAACTGAGACTTTCTGAAACAGCCCCAGAGATAATTTGTCAATGAATGTCAGAATTCAGTTGACACTAAGTGCAGGCCAGAGCGCGCGCACACAATCACACACAGCATAGTATTTCAAGGGAGAGGGTGATTTGTTGAGCACATGAGCCCCTTGTTCATAACCCCCCCCCTTCCACAGGCACATACAGACAGGGCCACTGCTTCCTACCGGCAGAGTCGGTTCATCCTTGTCCCTGACTGTAGATGACTGTGTAAGAGAAAAAGACAAAAACAGAGACAAATAAACAAACGATGAAGCACATACAGGTTTCACATTTAATAACGATCATCAGTATAGGGAAATATTTGTGAGGTTTTTTTCTGCTCCTTGGGAAGGATTATGCCAAAACAAGGGGCAAAGCATGTATATTTCTAGCCAAGATAATGGTTTGTTTAGGCATATGGTGCATGTCCTGAAAGATCAAAGTTGAGTGGGCAACCTAACTGCCCAGCAATAGAAGGCAGTTAAATCAATTAGGGCCCAGCCGCAAAGTGGAATACCATGTGGTCATTAAAACAAATGGAGTGAGCATACATGTATTGACATGAAAAAAAATATCTAAGCTATATTAAGTAAAAAAAAAAAAGCAAATCTTACTTCTATCTCATTTTGAAAACAAATAATGATACTTTAGGATATGTAAAGAAAAAAACTCTGCCAGGATTATTCCAAAGTGTTACTGCCGGGAATAAGATTACAAGGAAGTGGCATTTTCCATGTCTCTTGGAGGGAGCCAACATTCACTGCCCCACGTGTGGTCAACAAGAATAAATAGAGCCTGAACAAGTAAGGTCACTGAATTAGACTAGGCTCATCACACATGGAATTCAGATAATCCATCTTCTCTCCTACCCCCACTCCTTCAAGTTGTTCATGCTAAAAGTGGAAATATCTGTCAGGTTGAGGAAAGGTGACTAAAACACAGTAGAATGTGAGGATCTATGCATTTGTTGGGAGAGAACACAACTCAGATAAGGTGACAATGGAGTGCTACCAACATGCTTCAACTCCATGCTCAGACCACTACTGTGGTCGCTCCACCTCAACTGTGAATGCACACAGCAAGAAAAACCTCCAGCCTTTTCCCCTGTCTTGCCTGCCCGGTCCTCCACACTCCAGTCTTTGCTGATCTGGATCTGCAAGAATAATCACACACCTGGAGGCCAGCAGACAGGTGCAGAGCTGTTCTAAAACCTGCCGCGGCCCTAGGCTCTCTTTTTTAGTCCTACCACACACGTCATACAAAGAACATTAAATGGCCCCCACATTCCATCTAAAATATACATTTTTGTGCAAAAAAAATGAAAGGGATTTTTATACTTTTGCATTTCAAATTACTGGCTACGTGCAATTCTTTGAATTTATGATCGGCATTGCTCAAAGCCTTGAAAAGTAAGAAAGATCAATTCACAATTTGTTTTCTCATGTCATTTTTAAGAAGACTACGTTTAACACTTAAGTTGATAATGAACATTTTGTAGACATTCAATTAAACGTTTAATTATCTTGTAGATACTTTTTTGGAGTTTAGAGTCAATATCAATGTATATTTTTTTCTTCTAGTTCCAAACATTTTTGTAGACCCTTGAAGAATTAGTAACTCCCAGGCACCTACAGAAGTATTCTGACTTGGTGGTAATTTCTGAGCACAGCCCATGAACATTACTAAATTGGCCATTGCCTCCTGGTTTGGGGCTTTCTCTTAGTGACTTTTCTAAAAGCACTAATATAAAAAAATCCCAATTCTCTAGTTCCCAGGCACATGCTTGGGGAACTGGAGTGGACCTGAAATTGCCCTTTGATTTCCCTCTTTGCTCTCAAAGGCACTGCATGATCCTGTTTCTGTCTGGCAGGCCCTTTCATTTTCTCTTCTTCCACATCAGACAGCTCAACAAATGGCCCCACATTACACAGAACAATCCCCCAGGGAAATTATCCAGTGCAGCCAGCTCAGCCTTTGGACGCACGTTGAGGTGAACTGTTAGAGCACGCCTTTTCAGTTAGCAAATTTACACCTTGTGGCTAAATGGGAGACAAATAATTATGAGCTGGAAGTGATGCCACAGAACATGAAGAAACAGAATGAAAAGGGTGGTGGGCTTTATAGGAGCAAACTATCACCAGCTAAGAGTTTCATTTAAAAAACATATTTAAAGAAAATACTAGAAAGAAAAAAAAAACCCAAGCCTGCCTTTTGGTTTGAAAGGACAAAAAAATATCTATCCCATTGACTTCCTTTTTCTCTCACAAGCAAGGAGGGTCATGAGATACAATAAATGAAAAGAAATGCCTTGTACATAGATGCTACAAAGAAAAATCTGAGTGCAGAGAAAAGTCTGAAATCCTGTACAAAATCTCCCACTGTTTAATGTCAGCAGCAGTTGACATTGTTATTTTTCTTTCAAGTGTAATTTGCAGACATGAATACACATCAGGTTACAACATAAATTTAGGTACACAAATGGCAGCTGAGGCCATTAAAACACCCCCCGCCCCCCACTTGCCTTTCCTGTACCCCGTTATAAGAGATGAGAAATGTGACATATGCTAGCTCATTTTCAGGGGCTTACCCACATCTACTGATAATTTCTGACCCTCACCTGACTTAGCCTCACTAATTACATGTTGAAGCAGCCCCACAGTCCTGCCAATGGGCTGCTGATTATGTTAGGAATTCAATTTTAATGGGGTTTTAATTACATTGGAATATAAACAGTGAAGGTGACAAAGAAACAATTCAACTGTCTGTAGCCTGTACAGTTTCTAACCACTAGATTATTTAGCTAATTACCTGGGTTTGGGTTGGCCTTGGTGCTATGAATTTATTTTCAGGGCCATTGAACATCTGGCAAGTTTAATCTAACCCCTCAGTTGTTACAGAAGACAGTCTCTTAAAAAAACAACAATGTGACTTTAAGGCTTGATCTTGGTATTCTTATTATGCATTTTGCTTTGTAACCCCCTTAATTTTAAACACACCAACACATCATACATTTGGAAGCCCAATTCATGGTGGTCAGTAAAAAGGTTGTGCCAACTATAGGAAAGATCTGTTAAGATTAATCCATAGCTTAAAAAACATGACCCATATATAAGCTGTCTACAAGAGACCCTCCTCAGAACAAGGGACTCACACAGACTGAAAGTAAAGGGATGGAAAAACATCTTTTAGGCAAATGGAAATGAAAAAAAAGTTGGGGTAGCAATACTTATATCTGACAAAATAGACCTCAAAGTGAAGGCCATAACAAGAGATAAGGAAGGCCACTTCATAATACTAAAGGGATTGATACAATAAGAGGATATAACCCTGATAAACATATATGCACCCAATGCAGGAGCACCCAAATACATAAAAAAACTCCTGGAAGATATCAAGGGAGAGATCGACAACAATACAATAATAGTAGGGGACTTTAATACACCACTGACATCACTGGATAAATCCTCTAGACAAAAAATCAGCAAAGAAACAGCAATCCCAAATGACTCACTAGATCAGATGGACTTAATTAACATCTTCAGAACATTTCACCCCAAAGCCACAGAATATATGTTCTTCTCAAGTGCACACAGGACATTTTCAAAAATAGACCACATATTGGGTCACAAGCAAAGTCTCCCCAAATTCAATAAGATTGAAATCATATCAACCATCTTCTCAGACCACAATGGCATAATATTAGAAATAAACTACAATAAAAACAATCCAAAAAATTCAAACTCTTGGAAGCTGAATAGCATGCTATTATACAAGGATTGGGTTACCAAAGAGATCAAAGAAGAAATTAAAAACATCCTGGAAACTAATGACAATAAAAACACAACAATCCAAAATCTATGGGGCACAATGAAAGCAGTCTTGAGAGGGAAGTTTATAGCTATACAGGCCTACCTCAAAAAACAAGAAAAAATGGTAGTAAATCATCTAACTCTACAACTCAAAGAATTAGAAGGAGAGCAACAAGAAAAGCCCAGAGTAAGCAGAAGGAAGGAGATATAAAGATCAGAGCAGAAATGAATAACATAGAGACCAAAAAAAAAAAATACAAAAGATCAAGGAAACCAAGAGCTGGTTCTTTGAAAGGATAAACAAGATTGATGAACCTCTAGCCAGGCTCACCAAGAAGCAAAGAGAGAGGACCAAAAAAAACCCCAAAATCAGAAATGAAAGAGGCAAAATAAAACAGACCTCACAGAAATCCAAAGGATTGTTAAAAAATACTATGAACAACTCTATTCTAACAAACTAGACAACCTGGAGGAAATGGACATATTTCTAGAAAAATACAACCTTCCAAAACTCAATCAAGAAGATTCTAAAAATCTCAATAGGCTGATAACTATGGAAGAAATTGAAGCAGTCATCAAAAAGCTTCCAGCAAACAAACGCCTGGGGCCAGATGGCTTCACAGGGGAGTTTTACCAAACATTCAAGGAAGAACTAAAACCTATTCTCCTCAGACTATTCCAAAAAATTCAAGAGGAAGGAACACTTCCAAGCTCATTCTATGAAGCCAGCATCACCCTAATACCAAAACCAGATAAAGACAACACAATGAAAGAGAATTACAGGCCAATATCCCTCATGAACATAGATGCCAAAATCCTCAACAAAATTCTAGCAAATCGGATCCAGTGGTACATCAGAAAGATCATACACCATGATCAAGTAGGATTTATCCCAGGGATGCAAGTATGGTACAATATCCACAAGTCAATATACGTGATACATCACATAAATAAATTGAAAGATAAAAATCACATAGTGATATCAATTGACGCAGAAAAAGCATTTGACAAAATCCAACACCCTTTGTTGATAAAAACTCTTAGCAAAGTGGGAAAAGAAGGATCATATCTCAACATAATAAAAGCTATATATGACAAACCCACAGCCAACATCATACTCAATGGGCAAAAACTAAACCATTTCCCCTAAGAACAGGAACAAGGCAGGGATGCCCACTCTCACCACTCCTGTTCGACATAGTACTGGAGGTACTAGCCATTGAAATCAGACAAGAAGAAGAAATAAAAGGCATCCAAATAGGGAAAGAAGAAGTAAAACTGTCCTTATTCGCAGATGACATGATACTGTACATAGAAAACCCTAAAGACTCCATCAAAAAATTATTAGACTTAATAAATGAATTTGGCAATGTAGCAGGATACAAAATTAATGCCAAGAAATCTATGGCATTTCT